TCTTTCTGTGTCTGAACGCAGATCCTTCCTCTCGATAACATATACGATTTTTGTTATGCTAATGTTTGATATTATTGATGGCGAGACTATTATGATTATTCTCATTTGTGTTATTTACCTTTTGTTTGACATTGTTCTTACCGCCATGATAATAATGACGATAATAATCCTGATGATATTAGAAAGCAATAGTAACATCACTAACATCAGCATTCTCAACCACCAATCTCATAACTTGTCTACTCACACAACAACACTATACATTCAACATTCTCACCATCAATCTCCAAACATTATCTATTTCAGCCGTCATCATTCATTCTCACTCATCACTCATCCAGCATTCACACCATCAATCCCCAAACATTATCTATTTCAGCCGTCATCACTCACTCTCAATCATCCAGCATTCTCACCACCAATCTCATAACTTATCTATTTCATCCGCCATCACCCATTCTCACTCATCACTCATCCAGCATTCACACCACCAATCCCCAAACATCCTCTACTTCACCCGTCATCACTCACTCACTCACTCATCACTCATCCAGCCTTCTCACCCTCAATCCCCAAACATTATCTATTTCAGCCATCATCACTCACTCTCACTCATCACTCATCCAGCATTCACACCATCAATCCCAAACATCATCTACTTCACCCGTCATCACTCACTCATCACTCATCCAGCCTTCCACACCCTCAATCCCCAAACATCATTACTTCACCCGTCATCACTCACTCACTCACTCATCACTCATCCAGCCTTCTCACCCTCAATCCAAACATCATCTATTTCAGCCATCATCACTCACTCACTCATCACTCATCCAGCCTTCTCACCTCAATCCCCAAAACATCATCTACTTCACCGTCATCACTCACTCACTCACTCACTCACTCTCACTCATCCAGCCTTCTCACCCTCAATCCCAAACATTATCTATTTCAGCCATCATCACTCACTCACTCATCACTCATCCAGCCTTCTCACCATCAATCCCCAAACATCATCTACTTCACCCGTCATCACTCACTCACTCACTCACTCACTCATCACTCATCCAGCCTTCTCACCCTCAATCCCCAAACATCCTCTACTTCACCCGTCATCACTCACTCTCAATCATCACTCATCCAGCATTCACACCCTCAATCCCCAAACATCATCTACTTCACCCGTCATCACTCACTCACTCACTCATCACTCATCCAGCCATCTCACCCTCAATCCCATAACTCACCCTCTAACTCTGCTTCGTCTTGCAGCTTGCAAACCTGAACCAATTGCGAATCACTGTCCCCTTTGCCATGAGAACATACCCCCCTGGGACGAAGGCTGGCGAGTACACCTCATGCCCGGACCCGACTGTTGCCCTGCTAATACTAGGGCACGACCTCATGGTATGTGGGTAGTGGAGTTGGAGAGAGGATGGAACTCGAGGATATGGGTATGTGGGTATAGGAGTATTGGAGACAGGATGAAACTCGAGGATATGGGTATGTGGGTATTAGGAAACTCAAGGATATGGCTATGTGAGTTTTAGGAGTATTGGAGTAGTTGGAGATAGGATGAAACTCAAGTATGTGGGTATGTAAATCTATGGGGTATCAAATAAGAAACTCAAGGATTGGAGAGAAGTTGAAACTCAAGTATGTGGGTATGTGGGTATTAGGAGGATTGGAGTAAGTTTGAGATAGGATGAAACTCAAGTATGTGGGTATGTGGGTATTAGGAGAACAGGAGTAAATTGTAGATAGGATGAAACTCGAGTATATGGATGAGTATTAGGAGTATTAAAGTAAGTTGGAGATGGGATGAGACTCAAACATATGGGTATGTGGGTATTAGGAGTATCGGAGTTGGAGATAGGATGAAACTCGAGTATATGGGTATGTGTGTAGTAGGAGTATTGGAGTAGGCATGTGAGTATTAGGAGGATTGGAGTAAGTTGGAGATAGAATGAAACTCAAGTATGTGGGTATTAGGAGTATTGGAGTACGTTGGAGCTAATATGAAACTCGAGTTTGTGGATCTTGGAGTAAGAGAGATAGGATGAAACTCCACTATGCGAGTACTGGCGTAAGTTGGAGAAAGGAGAATCTCAAGTATATGGGTAGATGAGTATTAGAGTAAGATGAGAATAGGGACATAACTCGAGTATTTTGGCACTGGAGTAAGGAAGATTGGATGAAACTTAAGGATGGGGTATTAGAGTGAATTGGAGAAAGGGAGAAACTCAAATATGTAGTTATGTGAGTAGGATGGAAAGAGGAAGTAACTCGATTAAGTAGGTACTGAAGCAAGTTGGGGAAAGGAGAAATTCAAGGACATGGATATGTGAGTATTACAGTGGAACCAGTGTGGGGGAGAAGTGAGGGGATGTACTCAGAGTGGCGGCGTATTAGGAGGGATGTATGTAGGGGGGGGGAGTGCTAACTCAAGTGTGGGAGTAAAGCAAGAGAGACGGAATGAGTGAGAAAGGAAAGTAGAGAC